CACGGGACTCAGCAGCCCTGGGGGAGGGGGGCTGAAATGGCAGGTGTCCCATGCTGTGGACACAGAAACCCCCTTGGGACTGTCTCCAGGGGTGTGTCAAGCCAGCCACAGACAGAGACTGGGGGCTTTGCAGCTTCCTTTTGGGTGGGAACCCTTCGTTCTCCAGCCGCCCTTCATGGAAGAGCGCTGGTTCCACTGGCAGGCCGGTACAAGCTGGGTCGCTCACGTGTCTTTCCAGGCGAAGCCCTGCTCAGAGACATTCAGGTGTCAGCGTTGGAAGCACCTGCCAAGGGTAGGTGCCCTCACAGTTCGCTGAAACCCCCCTGCCCAGGCCCCCTCTGGGACAGGGACTCCCCCTCCTCTGCCCCAGGACCAATCCCCCCTCCCCCTGCAGCCTGGTATCCCGCCTGCCCCTGGCTGGGTGCGCCAGCCTGCTCCCCCCACAGTACCATGGCCAGCCTGGGTCAGACCAGTGGCCCATGCAGGTCAGGGTCCTGCCTGCCACCAGCAGCTGGTGCCAAGCACCCAAGGGACTGAGCAGGGCAGGCAGCACCCCATGACGCAGCCCGTGGGACAGTGCCCAGGCCCGGGCGTGTCGGTGACGCTGCCGAGAGACTGGGCCGGGCACGTGGGTCCCTGGCGTGGGGCAATCTCACCAGTGCTGGAGGCATCTGCCTGGCGTTCAGCGCTCACAGGCCCATGCGAGACTGGAGGCAGCCCCCCAGGGCGTGGGCACCTTCCTGATGGGGGTCCCCCGGCCCGGCCGCCTCTGCGGACGCTGCTTTAGCCAGACCCCAGTGAGTCAGCTCAGCCCGGCGCAACGGGCGAACGGCCCCGACTTCTCTGCGCCCTGCTTTGCTCCCCGCCCTTCTGGCATTAGCCTCGCAGACTCCACTGAGGTGGGGGGGTCCCGGCTGGACTCTATGGGGGGAAAGCCAGCGGGAAGAGAGAAGCCCCCTATTGCCCCCCACCTGGCTGCACGGTGGCCTCCTCAGCAGAGCGCCCAAAGCTGGAAGCAACCCGGGCCCCAGTCGTCCAGCCAGACTCCAGGTGCAGCCTTTGCCCTCCCCCAGGTGTCCCAGGCTGGAGCCAACAGCTGCGCTTTGGGGCAGGCCTCCTCCTGCCATGGCTCAGCCCCAGGCAAGAGCAGCTGCCCCAGCTGCTCATGGAAAGGGCACAGCTGGGGGTGGGAGAACACAGGGGAAGCGTCCAACAGGCCAGCTGGGAGGGGATGGAGCCCTCAGCCCCATGGACTCAGTGCACAGGCAGAGCCAGGCGATTTCCTGCCCCCGCGGGGTCTGGAGGAGGAGGATGGGGCAGAGCGTAGGGTCCCCAGGCCTGCCCCTGGCATGGCTCAGCCCCAGGCAAGAGCAGCTGCCCCAGCTGCTCATGGAAAGGGCACAGCTGGGGGTGGGAGAACACAGGGGAAGCGTCCAACAGGCCAGCTGGGAGGGGATGGAGCCCTCAGCCCCATGGACTCAGTGCACAGGCAGAGCCAGGCGATTTCCTGCCCCCGCGGGGTCTGGAGGAGGAGGATGGGGCAGAGCGTAGGGTCCCCAGAGCGCTTCACTGGTGGCAGGCAGGCGGTGCCAGGGTGCAGGGACGTGCTGGGTGTTGGCAGGGAGGGGGCCGGATCTCTTCCCCCAGGGCACCAAGCGATGGAGACACTGTCCAGCAGCCATCCCTGGGAGCAGGGTGTGACGTAGGGGGGGTACTTGCTGGGCTGTGGTGACCCCTGCTGTCTGGAGCAAGACCCAGCAGGGAAAACCTCGCTATGCAAAGGTGATGCCAAACTTGATGAACCAGACACCCCTCATGGAGAGGAACAAAGGAAGGTGGATGCTGCCCTGGCTGGGGGGCAGGGCTGGAGGAGAGTTAGTTAGTTCCTGTCTGGAAGGCAGGGAATAAGGAGCTGGGGAGGGGGCTGGGACTCCCCTATCTCAAGGGGGGGCACTGAGGCCTCTTAGCCCCAGTTCCTGTAACCAGATTACATCTGTGCTGCGCTGTGCTGGAGGAGCAATAAACCACCCTCAATTCCACTGGCTGGTGCAGTCTGTTTGTGCCATTTCGGGGTGCAGGAGACGGGG